ATATATATATAATGATATAGTGTTTAATGTTTTATGGGTACTATGGCAAAACAATTCATATTATATGATGATATATACCTTGAGAACAAGAAGACCAGTTATTTTATTTTAGAGACAGGGTCTCACTCTGTCACCCAGGCTGGAATGAATGGCATAATCTTGGCTACTGCAACCTCTGCCTGCAGGGCTCAAACAATCCTCCCGCCTCAGCCTCCTAAGTAGCAGGGACCACAGGTGCGCACCATCACACCTGGCTAATTTTTGTAGCGAGAAGATTTCACCATGTTGCCCAGGGTGGTTTGGAACTCCAGAGGCAATATGCTTGCCTTGGCCTCCCAAAGTGCTGGGATTAGAGGTGTGAGCCACTGGGTCTGGCCCAGTATTCTTAATTTATTTAAAAGAATTACTATGTTTCACATTCTTGGGGAAATACTGAATATGCAGTTTTAATCAGAGATTTGTGAGTTTTAATCAAACACAGAATTTTAAAGAAATATATATGCACAAAAGAGAAAAGATAATTCCAGATTGTAGTGGCAATAAAATACTACTTCCCAAACAAAATTCTATTAACAAATGAGCTACCTTGTTAAAAGAAACTGGGAATTCTGGAGAGTCTGCTGACTGCTTTCTGTATTAGTTATGTTGGTTGTTGCTGTGGATTGTGTGATTGCAGTGGTGACACTGCTTGTGTTAGTACGCCGGGTTGCATTGTGTGCGGTCTCCAGTTGCTGCCGTGTGGCCTGGGCGTGCCGCTGTTCTAGCTGCAGCTGCATCTGCAGTTGTTGTAACTGAGAAGCGGAAGGGCCAGAGGAATTAAGCTGTCCTCCTGCAGAACGTGTCACTCCTGATAACTGAGATAAAAGCTCTGCCAGTGGAAATGAAGACGATTAATGTCTGCTTAATACTGAGGAAAACAAAACGCTACAGATCACTCTTTTACTGGAACAACATCGAAAGCACTGGGAACAGGTAGGTAACCACAGCAGCATAGAGTTTCAGTGAAGAGCTGAATACCTTCTAGAATGCCTCCTGGAGGCAGGAGTTACTGTGTACAGAGAATGCAAATGCATACGAATATCGACCCAGACCCAACTATGTTTGCTTTCAGTAAAACTTAAATTGTCTTTAAAATTATCTGCATAATAGACTAATTTAGTTAAGCTTTCTCTTAGTATTTAATGAAGTGGTTTATCTGCGGGCCCAATTGTAATATAAGCTTTCTCAATATGTGTTTCATGGAAGCAGGGATGAGGTCTACTGTTGACTATATTCCCAGCTCTCAGAACAGGGCCTGATATAGCAGGAATTCAAACATTTACTGAATGACTGAATGAATTATTAGGATTTAGTCCAAGAGGCCTGGATCATTTCTGATAGTGGGCCTTGAACACTCGCCTCTGCCTTCTTCCTCTAGTACCTTCTGGTACTGCTGTTTCAGAGTACCACTGCAGTAGGTACCACTAGCAGTGCTCAGCAAGGCTGACTGGCTCCTGAGAACCTGTTGCATCTGACCGTACAGCGTACTTAGTGGCCTGTTATGATCCAGACTGTCTTGTGTCCATAAGGCTGTACTCATTAAGAGAGGTGTAGACCTTTGTCCCTGCACCCTCATCTACGTAAGGTGCAGTGAAATGCCTTCTTCCAAGTGGAGGGTCTACCTCGCTTATAGGGAACCGATGATGGCCTTGCAGACACTCTTAAGCCAGCAAAAACTCTTTATCATTAAAACTCATTAACAGTTTCTGTTTTCTTCTTCACTGTTGCTTTATCCCAGGCTTTTGATAGCACTCTTACACCACTCTTTCATGGAATATACTGTCTATCACTAAAATAAACTAATTTTCACTGACAGAAAAAAAACAAATGAAAATTTCTCAAATTTGAATTTTGCTCCCGGAAACTACTTTAATTTTTAGTGTCTGCCACCAAAATAGCAGGTATATATTCCCTTTGGATGAAGAAATATTTTTTGAATCCCCCAAACTCAGTTTGTTAGGCTTGTTTTTGTTGTTGCACACCCAAATGTTCAAAGCACATTTGGAATTAAAATTTTATATGGTATATCTAACTTTTTAATAACATGATAGGTGTCAAATTATTCTTAGGGTTTTTTTCTTTTTTAAATTTTTATTTTAGATTTGGGGGTACATGTGAAGGTCTGTTACACAGTTAAACACATCACGGGGGTTTGTCGTACATATTATTACATCACGCAGTACCCAATGAAGTCCAGTACCTAACAGTTATCTTTCTGCTCCTCTCTCTCTCTTCCCACCCTTCCCCAGTGTCTGCTGTCTCCTCCTTTGTGTTCCTAAGTTGTCATTTAGCTCTGATGTTCTCAGTTTCTGTTACAGATTTACACTTACCAGTGTTTCAGGTGTTCTGCAGGGCACCTCATGGCTTCCAGGTAGGTGCACACTTCACCACATGGACACATCTCAGAATTGTTGCTTTAAATGTGTGCACACGTCCCACAGTCTTCCCACTTGTCTGCTTGGTGTGTCTTGCAGATTGTCAGGCTACAGTGATTTCTTATATTTTATTCTGACCCTGTGTTCTGCTACCAACTTCCCAGGTTTGTCATGTACTAGACCCAGTGACATGGCCAGGTTCAAAAACTATGTTTTTTTGTTTTTGTTTTTGTTTTAAGATTTTCCCCAAGCTATTAAACATGTACCTTTCAGCACGTTCTACAACAATATAGTTCTCAAATCAGGATCAGGACATTAAGTCTTACTTTCCTTTCTTCCATGAGAAGAGCTTAATTTTTTAGTCTTGTCAATTAGCTATAGATAACAGTTCTGAAATGCGTCCATGTGGTGGAATGTGTACCTGGAAGCCATGAGGCGCCCTGCACAACACCTGAGATAGGCATAAATCTGTGATAGAATTTTACACATAACATGTTCTTAAAAATGTTAGCTATACCTTATAAAATCTTAATTTCAAATGTGCTTTGGACATTTGTTATGTGTACTTATGGAGGTTTAACCATGAAATTTTGGAGGTATTCAAACTGAAATCTTTTATGATTTCCTTGGGCTTCAATAGAGGCCACAAATACAACATAAAACCATTTTTTATCATCTTATGTCTCTAAGAACAGGAGTCTCCCACTCCCTTTACCCGCAGGAGACATGTTCCAAGACCCCCAGTGAATGGCTGAAATGGGCATCTGGATAACACAGAACCCTCTATGTTTTTTCCTATATATACTTACCTGTTGTGCTAAAGTTTAATTTATAAATTAGGCACAGTATGAGATTCACAACAAAATAGAGTAAATCTAAAAATAGACCATGAAAGTTATGTGATGTGGTCTCTCTCCCTCTCAAAGTATCTTACTGTCCTGTGCTCACCTATTTTTCGACTGTAGTTGGTTGTGGGTAACTGAAACCCGGGAAAGCAAAACCACATATGAGGGGGGACTACTAGACTTAAGCGATGCCAGAAGAGTATGAATTACTTTATGTTAAGTATCTGCTTTGAACACATTTTACACTTTTAAAGTATTTGGCAATTTTGTGAAGGAACATGGCTTATGATCAGAGAGGTGAGGCTAAGAACACAAATCTCACAAATTTTGTTTTGTTTTGTTTTGTTTTGTTTTTTGAGACAGGGTCTCACTCCATCACCTAGGCTGGAGTGCAGTGGTGTGAGCTCGGCTCCCTGGAACCTCCACCTCCCAGGCTTGAGTGATTCTCATGCCTCAGCCTCCTGAGTAGCTGCGATTACAGGCACCCACCACCACATCTGGCTGATTTTTGTATTTTTAGTAGAGATGGAGTTTCGCCATGTTGGCCAGGTTGGTCTTGAATTCCTGGCCTCAAGTGATCCACCCGCTCCAGCCTCCCAGAGTAAGCCACCGCAACTGGCATCACAAAAAGTTTTAAAAGGAGCTCCTCCTTCCCCTGCCATTTCCCTTATTAATGTGAAACTAACTTACCAGCTATAGGATCCATGGCTTCCCTATTGCTTGGAGAATATGAACTCTGAGAAGAAGAAAGTCCACCAGTAGAACTGCTAGTAAAATGCATGTTTGATCTACGAGCACGAGGACCTCCTAATCCCCGGCCAGGGTGAAACATTCTACGTACATGTCGAACACCACTCGATTCATCATAACCCAAAAGTTAAGAAAAAAATGAAAATATTTCACAGAAAGAAAAAAAAATCACTTGAGCCCTTGCTAGACAGATATAAAGACTTCCTGAATTGTAAGCATTTAAAAACAGCACGTTTAACTTAAAGTGCAAATGTCCCAACTCTATCTATGACGGAGGGCTATTAACCCTAAAAAAAAAACACTCAAATATAAGGCAACATGTGAGTATGTGTGTGTGTATTGGCTGTGTGAGGTAAGAAAGCTTCTCTATATAGCTCATGAAATCTCAGATACCACCTATAATGAAAAAGGAACAATATTGAATTTATATTCAGCAGATCAAAGATTCCTTTTGGATTATTAGTTTTAATCTGTTTTCAAGCTTCTTTCCAATGCTGCTGCTAAGCAGAAAACAGATTTGCATTTCTTGTCTAAGACACACAGACAGATTAACATGACATTTATCACGAAGTCAAATTCCCAGCAGCCTCAACCATCTTACATAGCTGAGTTGGAGTCCAACTGAAAAAGCTCCTGAGTCGCAAATAGCTGTCAAAACTCATGAAGACAATCCTACGTTTCCACAAAGGCAAATGAGAGGTGGGGGAGGCCAGATCATGTAGAAGAGATTTTTCCTTTAAAGCACCAAACAGACCAGCTTTATCATGCAGATTCATTTTTTTGCTGGCTTCTCAGTTTTTCAGCTGATGGTTCTGGAGTTATTTAAGGACCAGATGGGTAGCTCCAGGAGGCCTTCAGGTGTCACCGTACATGCATTGTTCCATCAATATTAATGAGGATGGTTTGGGTTTTAGAGAAAGTGATACGATCATGTTTATATATTTGATAATTTATATATTATGATTTTATATATATATATGTATTTTGAGACAGGGTCTCACTTTGTTGCCAGGCTGAAGTGCAGTGGTACAACCATAGCTTACGGCAGCCTTGAGATCATGGGCTCAAGACATCCTTCTGCTTCAGCCTCTTGAGTAGCTGGGACCACAGGTGTGTGCCACCATGGCCAGCTCATTATTTTGGTAGAGGCGGGGTCTTCCTATGTTGTCCAGGCTGGTTTCGAACTTCTAGGCTCAAGTGATCCTCCCACCTTGGCCTTTCAAAGTGCTAGGAGTATAGGCATGAGGCACTATACCCAGCTGGTGATAGTTTTAGATGAACAATTCATAACCTGAAACCAGAAGCAAAGACCACAAAATTAATCGCTCTGGTAGGCCAGTAATCTCAGGGAACACTGCCAGCAACTGTTGAGAGATAAGGAAGGAAATGAAGAAATAAAATCAGGAGGCTGGGCGTGGCGGCTCACACCTATAATCCCAACACTCTGGGAGGCCGAGGCGGGCGGATCACTGAGGTCAGGAGTTCAAGACCGGCCTGGCCAATATGGTGAAACCCCATCTCTACTAAAAAAAAATACAAAAACTGGCCAGGCGCAGTGGCTCATGCCTGTAATCCCAGAACTTTGGGAAGCCAAAGCGGGCGGTCAGGAGTTCGAGACCAGATTGGCCAAGAGACCGGCCTGGCCAATATGGTGAAACCCCATCTCTACTAAAAATACAAAAATTAGCTGGGCATGGTGGCGGGCACCTGTAATCTCAGCTACTTGGGAGGCCGAGGCAGGAGAATTGCTTGAACCCAGGAGGTGGAGGTTGCAATGAGCTGAAGATCGTGCCATTGCACTCCAGCCTGGCCGACAGAGTGAGACTCAGACTCAAAAAAAAAAAAAAAAAAAAAGAAAACGAAAAGCAGAAAAGGAAGTGTAAAGCTAGAGCTGACCTTACACTATCCTACTCAGGAACTGGGCAGGAAATGGCTCTCTTTGGAGAAGGAGACCCCAAAAAGTAAAGGAACACTAAGATGCACACCTGCCCCCACCATCTCACCACACCACACCCACAACAGGGTAAGGCAGCAGAGCAACAGAGAGGGAAAGCAAATAATGCCTCTTCATATTTAACTAATTTAATTTTAATTTGGATTAACATTTTCCGCTTTTGTATGAAAATGCCATCCTGGAAGACATAATCTGGTCAAACTGCCTTAAAAAAAATCTAATTATAGTGAACTGAAGATGAAGGACAAGTCAACTTTCACTTAGTGAAAATGGTGCATGCAACAGTGATAGTATATAAAAAGAGAAATCAATTGCATCTCAACACTGAGTCACTTTTAGGAAAAGTTCAAATAAGTAAAAATAATTTGGAGATTACTTTTCCTCTTTTGGGGGATATTATCCTTAAAAATTATCAAAATGACAAGCTTGATGCAGTGGCACTTGTGTGCCTATAGTCCCAGCTACTCAAGAGGCTGAAGCAGGACGATCACTTGAGCTCAGGAGTTTGAGACCAGCCAGGTCGACACAGAGAGATCCTGTCTCCAAAACAAAAAATCAAAATGACAAACATTACAAACAACTCTTTTCCTTGTCATCTCTTAAAAGGATATTCAATCTCTAGGGGCTCTGTGTTCAAGTGTAAGATGAGCTGCAAAGTCATCCGTGACATGATTAGGATCGCCTCCAGGTAACGCTGCACATATTGGACAAATCTGCAATGGAAGTAAAGAAAGCAGCTTAATAAATGAATGTCAAGAAGACATCTTTCCGGACGAGTATTCTGTTGTTTCACTATTATCAAGTTTTAACCAATAAAAAACTCAGCAGATCCTGAAAACCAGTAGAAGCCTAAGCAAGAACTGTTCACACAAGGTCCCTCAGGGTCAAACACAACAGTTTCAGACACACCAAACTTGATCTCTGGCAGGGCCTTCGAACAGCCTGCCTGATTCATTAGTATGGCCTAGCAAAATAGTTTCCATGAAAGAAACTTTAAAAATATGCTATTCAGTGCACATTTATGTTTAAGTCCAGTCTCGAATGGTAAAGACAGATACAAGCCTATGGCACACTTCTCCAAAGTAAGCTATACTTGAGAGACAATTCCCAAATAAGACAGCAGAGGTCTGATTAAATGCAACTGTGCAAACATTCAACAGATATGTTGAATGTAAGACAGATTATGATTACTGATAATATGCAAATGTGGTCTATAAATTTATGAATGTGACTTCCAAGGGGCATATTGTATGGAAGTCCATTTTTTAACCTTATTTCCCAAAGAAATGGGTGGTAGGCCATAAGCTTGTAACCAGGGCAGGCTCAAGGAGTAGAAGCTCAACTTTCCATGGGCCTTTTGGCAAGAGACAGGAGAAAGTAGGAATAAAATGATGTGTACACAGTCACGGTTTGGGGAGTGGGTGACAGGTTGGGAAGGCGGTGTCTATAGTTAACAGAATTGGTGAAACAGGGAAGGAGAGGGGAAGGATAGAAAGAATGAGGAACTTTTTAAAGAGGAAAGGCCCTTACTCTTCCGAAATTCAAATGGGCAGATAATGTTCTAACAATGGTAGCCAAGCCTTGAAGTATGAACAATTTCAATCTTAAAGAACAGGGCCAGGAAGAAAGGTCTGAAACAAGGGGCATGACCAAAGGGAGCCCCAGGAAGTGCACAGTTCAAGTGGTAGACTTATGTCTTTATAAATAAATAAGAAGGTTAAAGACAGGATATGTGATTCACCTTGCTAGTACCTGAGCCAAAATTCTTTCACCTAGGCAAAATCTAGGCAATTGGTCAGCCTTATTATCTGCTGACAGCACAGTGGGAGTAGGTGGTAGTGCTAGAGATGAGGGGAGATGGGAAAAGTGAGACTTGGAAGGACAGTCCTGGGGTATGGAGGGAAAACAAACTGCTCTGATTCCTGGAGCCCAAACAAACATAACTTTCCATCATCTAACAACTAGACAGCAGAAGTCCCCTGAGAGTTCAACTCTGATTTGGTATCAGTCTCTCTTATGCCTAATCAGCTGTCCTGATTATGTGACTCAGGACTCTGAGAAATATCCTCAGGAAAACCTAAATATGTTCATGAGAAATAACATTTAAACATGACAGTGTGCAAAAGAACTAGCGAGGTCACAATGGAATGTGATGAGGCAAATGAGAAAAAGAAGTAGATAGACCTGTCTATGCCTTTCTTAAAAGATGCCAAGGAAGGTGGTCAGATGCTTTCCTCTGTCAGTAAAGTAGCTGTATGTGTCACAAGTTTACAGATTATCCACTCTCTCTTTACTAGGAATTTAACTTCTGCTATCTGTACCATTCCTGTACTCTGACATTACCTGGTTATGTCTAATATACCTATTTTACTTTTCATGTGCTTCCGGTCTTACCTAGCTAAACTGTAAACTCTTTGAGAGATGCAGCGCAGTATGATTTGTCTTTGGTTTTAAACTCCAGACAGATTTGCTTTAAAAAAAAAAAAAAAAAGACCAGCAATGTATGGAGAAACAGAAAAAATCTTCCAGTTATTTAAAAATAAAACAAGGTACCTTAGAGACTCATCATTTTGAAAAAGTTAACAAGTGCTGGGTTATAGTCTTATTACAATATTATAAGGCTGTATAAGATTTTTATTTAAAGAGAAAATAACCACCAAAAGGAAAAGGCATCTTTCTTCTAAGATACCTTCCTTTATATTGGCCTTCGGGTAAAATCTATAAACAACTTGAGCTATCCAGAGATTGCTGCAGAGGCTTCAGTACTTGAGGGGACATAAAAATGTTGGTAGATGAGAAAAGTCTCCACAAGGATATAAATTCCTAGAAGGAAAACAGAATGGGAAGCAGAGATACCAAATGTACTAAGAATGTCCTAATAAGATAGATAAGTTAACAAGTAGAAAAGTACCTTTGAGAGGAGGATATAAAATAAAGACAAGATCCTTCCTTATTGTATATTGACTTTGGCTCTATACTCAAAATCTTTTTTATTTCACTGGAGTAACTATGTTAAGATGGCAGGATAAAGGTATTCAGAACTGCTTCATTCATAGAGAAATAATATAAAACCAACCAATCAACCAACCAAACTTCCATAACGTCTAGGGATAAAGAATTACTGAGAATAAGAAATTACTATGGCGGGAGGATCACCCAGGTTGACAGCTAGCATAGAAAATCAAGAGGCTAGGCAAGGCGTAGTGGCTCATGCTTGTAATCCCAGCACTTTGGGAGGCTCAGGCGGATGGATTACGAGGTCAGGAGTTCAAGACCAGCCTGACCAACATGGTGAAACTCCATCTCTACTAAAAAATACAAAAATGAGCTGGGCGTGGTGGCACATGCCTGTAATCCCAGCTACTCAGGAGGCTGAGGCAGGAGAATCACTTGAACCCAGGAGGTGGAGGTTGCA